CTAGAGCCGGAAGTCATCTGGTTGTAGCAAATTGTTGTTAGCTTCAATAAGATGGCATAGTTTGGAGGAAGAGGCCCCATAATTTTGTTAATTGTTTTCCTGAAGCACGATGATGCAATGTACCCTTTGTAGTAGCATCTTCGAGATCATAAGATGATGCCAGCAACGGAAATTGGTCTGCCGAATTAAATATTCTATGGACTCAGCTCAGCATCCTGTGTTCCGATTTCAGGTTGAACACAGTTCCATTTAAACCTTTTTCTCAGGCTAAATTAGAGTCACAAATCTCCCTCTGGCCGCAATTTTAACGCCTAAAGATGGTTAGAGGACTAGGTGCACGAATGACATGGCAACCACGCTTGTACGAACCAAAAAAGGACAAGGGTTGATGCCGAGTTACAGTAATCCAGTTTGCTGCCCTGTACTTTAACGGCGTGGCAAAATGTGAATGTTAAAGTACCTAGCTTGAGACCCTACGCCTCACAAATTTCAAGGGCAACGGTAATAATAATGCTATGCCCTTTGACACAAAAATTAGTCATTCATGATGATGACTTGATAAATTCAAGATGATATAATCAGGAATATTTTTGCCACGTGAAGAATTTTTTTCCCACCCCTCGTGAAGACCAGAAGGTAAAATTCTTCAGATTGCTTGGTGAAGTTGTTTCAACCAAAAAAAAAAAAAAAGAGAGGTGCTGCTAAATTTACAGGTGGCGCGTATGATGCCGACGACGAACGAATAGGCCATTTTCCTCCTCATTCAAGGACAGAAACACGTGTACCGAGATGATCCGCGAGCCAACCGGGCAGCAGAATGTCCTATGATATATATGTCTAACGTAACGGGATGGTCTGATGATTCACGAGCTCTCCGCATGTCCAACGATAACAGTAATGTCATCAAGCTTCCCCCCTGTGAAAAATAAGAAGAGAGAGTTAACCTTGTCGTCATGACACAAGGCACGGAAAAGTTTCTCACGTCATGCCTGTTAACTTCATCCCAAGCATTTTCTTCCACCAAGGAACATCAAACCCCTGCTGGTCGAGATCATAATTTAAGATCAGTGTCATGAGACTGTCAATAGAGCAATGCTGGAACAGGGATGAACTGGGAAAGTTCTGAATCCAATTAATTACCCTCGCTCTAGCCTCCAGGGAATAAGGTGATTCATAGCTCAAATCCAATGAATGCGTGTGAGCAAGATTAGCTAATACCTTTGCTAGCATTGGTACCAAAATCAATCAAAATGTTATCGAGAGAAGTATTATGTCAAAACAATTAAACTGTGCTAAAAGAGCTTACCAGTGTTGGTAACACATCACTCGTAGTACCCACGGCTGAGACAATTTCATGGTCAAATACATTATCAAAAAGCCCATCTGAGCCTATCACAAGTGTGTCTCCCTTCACTAATTCCACACTGCTGACCTGTATTTTAGCCAACAAAGAGCTCAGAATAACGAATATAAGAAAGGTGGTGCACTAATCTGATGCAGCATTAAGCGAATCATGCGCTTTAAAGGTTACAACTAGGTTATGCTTCACAAACGAAAGATGCTCCTCAAAACGCGAGGATCCTTTTCTTCAGGTAACTGCATGCATAGAAGCAAGACCTTATAGCTAGCCCTATTCATGCTTCAAAACTTTTACCAGCATCTAGAATCGATGTACAGAGAACACATAGACGTGTTAGATTACTTCCTGCCAACATTTAAGTAGGCACTGAGCTTGATCGCATAAAAATATTCTTTTATCTTGCGAATTTATAATTAATATTGTTTTGCAGAAATTTACACCAACAAATTCAAGAAACAAGACAGTATCATTGTTCAGAAAATTTCTAGATGCATAGATCTTCATACCGTGGCATCAAGGTATGTTTGACCAACTGCCTCTGAGCTCAATTGGTAGGGACAATCAAAATAGTGTTCTTCAGGGGAAGTGGAAAAGACTACTTGACCTATTGCCGGCAGTAACCACACAATCACAAATGAAAGTGGAAGAAAAGTAGATGTACAACGATAGCCTAGTAACTTTGGAAATCAGAAGGAACACAAAACTTGAAAGAGTACCTTTTCGAATGACCCTTAGTCCACAATCCCCAACACTGCAATCTTCAGTGTCCCATTTTTCTCCAACATTGCAATGATTCTAATAAGTCACACAGAGATTATTGTTTGACAAATGGTTAACGACATGAACAATTTGAGCATCAGTTCTTGGAGATGTGACTTGGAAGGACATTTTAATGAACATACACAGTAGCAGAACCAACTGAAGAAGTAGCAGCATGTGCTTTCTGAATAAGAGTTCGGGGGTTATAACTAACCTGTCAAAGCACGAAAGACTTAAAAAGTGACTAAGCATGCATTGACAGACAATCATGAGATAATCAATCAAGTATTTCTTACTTTTACCACAATAAGAATGGTCTTAAACACTCTTATCTTTTAATGTTGATAGCAAATTGGTTAGAGATGTAAGTTAAGATTTCAATATAAAGAGTTCAGGCAGGACGCAAAAGATATGCTCTTATGCCAAGGATCTGGATCTAATATTTACAGAAGCCTCCAAGATCCTTTAGCACTCTACAACTGCAGTGAAGACATGTAAGCATTCAAGGACAAGCACGTGGCATGAAGTCCTTTTTAAACAATAGCTTATACAGAGTGTAAATGAGAATTGCTAACCTCTTCATCCTCAACTAAAGATGAAGCCTTCGACATCAATTCTCGAGAGAATAACGCCGGATTCACATTTTGTTCGGCCCAGCTGCCAAGTAGGAAAATTTTTAGAGAATTCCCGTGCCTCCTAGAGATCTTATTAGATTCACGAGAAAAAATCATGTGATTTCAGATATTTAGTAGACAACAGGAATTTTTGCCTTTCTTCTCACATTCACATAACTCAGAAAAGTTGCCAGCCTGAGGGTAAAAAGAAAAAGAAACAATAACAAGATTGCAGCCTCAAAATCATCAGATTCAGAGTAAGAAAATTTATAGTCTTAAGATGGATGCACTAGAAGGAAAAGCGAGGAGTAAATGAAGAAGTAACGGTACCCAGAGACGCCATCAGCGACAGCAACGACACCCCCATTATAGCTGCTGATAAAGAAGGCATCTTCCCCACCTTTCTCGACCTTCCGAAAATTGAGCAGCATGCGGTTATTATATGTAGTGCAAACTGAACAAAATGGGTCCATAACTAAAAGTATACTGGAAGTCTAGAACTAACTACTCAAAACGGAGTCTCCCGCAAAGTGAATAATGACAAGAACTAAGAATTAACTAGTAGTACGTAACATAACTAGAGGTACCTTCTTGGGGTGTGGAATAACATGGGCTCTAAAAGACAACGATAGCTCCGGTCTGAAACAAGACCAACATACCAAAATTTACAACACCAGTTTTACCACTAGAAAAAAAAAACGCAATGTCAAATTAGTTTGCGTTTAAGGAATGGAAACAAAAAAGGAATTTACCCAACAACAGGTGGGGGGCTGGAACTGGGAATGGATGGCACGGGCGGCGTGCAACAAACTGAACTACCAGTCTCCTCCTCCTCCACGTACCACCGTCCTCCGGAATTGAATGGAAGGATAGGTAATACTGAGACACTGCGGTAGCCGCCATTTCCCACCGCTTCCAGCTGCAGCCTCCCCAGATTCCCTGTTTTCCCACTACCCTCCATGGCTGAGGACACAATTCATAGTCATGTCATACTCATACTAGCTAGCGTCCCCCGGTTTCATCTTGCCACGATGCTTCCATTCGACAATCCAATATGAATTGAATTATTTGCTAAATGCTTTCAAGAAGCACCAGTGGTCTAGTGGTAGAATAGTACCCTGCCACGGTACAGACCCGGGTTCGATTCCCGGCTGGTGCATTGCTTTTCCATTTGGGCTTTTTGTATAGTACTAGTGGATCCGGGTCCAGGGCCGCTCTGCTGCCCTTTCTTATGAGTTTTGCCCCAACCCATTGATGATTGAAACTCTCGCAACATTTTATTTCGTTCATTCGCCTCAATATCGTACGGCAGACTGAAGAGCAAAATGAACGCTGTGACCTCCTCTCCGCAGACTTCCTGGAAGGTAATTCAAACTCACCATCTCCATTTTTATTCTTCTCAATGGTTGTCGAAATGAACTCGTCCTTTTTCTCTCTCTTTTTTTTTTGGAATTTTACATTTTTTCCTAAGATTTCTAATGCCCAAGGCCCCCAAACATTTGTTCCTATTAATTGGAAAATTCACAGACAACGCCGGCGTCGGAAGCGACTCCGAAACCAATACGGATGAGCTGCCTGAGTACTACCAACCTATCTCCGCTGAAGCCGGTGAGGATGAAGAAGAATTGGACCTCTTCGATCAGCAAAAACTCCAACTCCGACGACGATAGTGGGAGCGATCATCGCTTACCTAACGGTTACGTGCATTGTATGGAAAACGGAGTTTCATCTCTCGATCTAAGCAGCGACGATGAAGGCGAACGTGAGCAGAAGGAAGTGGAAGAAGATGAGGAATTAAGAATGAGAGAGGAGTCTGATGTGGCAATACAGAGAGCTTTCAGGGAGGACGAGAACCGTCGGAACGCGCGCCTTGACGCCTGAGAATGCCGTCAGAGTGATGGAGGCCATGCGCGGCGTTTCGTTCGCCGACTGTCTCCGGATTGGGCTGGCCGGATTCCCGAAGATCAGTGGATCGATCAGCTTAGGCAAATCAGACGGCCACCTCCGGCTGGTTCCACAGTTGAAGATTGAATTTATTACACTAAAATTTCATCCAGTCCACTTTGTCATTCGTTTATTAAGTGTTTGAAACAGAATGATTATTCAGATTGTACTGATCCAATGATGCATCAGAAGTTTCCCGTAATACATTTCTCGTCTGTTTTGCACATAAATTATTACAGGAACAAGTCCGTCGTGCAGCAGTTAAAAAAATTTTATCAGACGAGAGAACACAATGCCAGAAGAAAACAGATTTCTTTGGGATCTACAGAATCAATTAGTAATACAATAATCATCATTGCACTTTCCAAAATTTAACGGTTCCAATAGAGCAGAAGACAACAGATATCAAAATTGAAGCCAGTTATACTCCATCCTCAACTCAACGAGGCTAGGCACACCTCACCGACATAGATTGTTACTAGATGCTAGAAAAATGGGAAGAAAGGATGATTGTTCTCTTTAGTTCACAGTCATCCAAGCCAGGCATTTAGGCACTGATATTTTCAAGGTCAGCACCTTTATCCATTCTCTTCACAATGCCAGCTATGACCTGTTAGATAATTCCACATCAGGGTTTCAATAAAATCTTTAAATTCTAAAAAGCAGAGGAAAGCGCAAAAAAAAAAGCAATTTAAAATTACGGGATTCGATGATCATTAAATTTTGTTAAGGAGATATGAAGTACCTTTCCGGGTCCTAATTCATAACTTTTTTTCAGTCCTTTGGTAAGAAGGGTCTTAACTGTTGCCTCCCATTGAACTGGGGAAGTAACCTGTGCTTCCAAGTTGACACATAAAATCAGCGTTTCCTGTTTCCAGCTCAATCTGCAAAATATCCAGCTTATGGGAAATATCGACTGGTGACTGATAGCTTACCTGCCGGGCCAATATTTTCTTGATTGTCTCAGGATCTGCATGGGGCTCTGCATCTACATTTGATATAACAGGTATTCTAGGAGTTTTGATTTCTGTTGCTGCTAAAGCAGCTTCTAATCTTGAGACAGCTGGTTCCATAAAACTTGTGTGGAAAGCACCTGCACAGCTAGCCGCACCTGAAAGGGGAAATGAGATACCAAGAGATTGCAAAAGCAGGAGCAGTCAATGTTTAAACAATAAGTACCGTCATTCGAGCTTTAAATGACTTTGCCTTGGCTTCTACAGCTTCCACTCCTTTCACACCTCCAGAGACAGCATAATTTCCCTAAATTAGACATGATGCACCAGACTCAAAAACCGAACAGAAGAAAACCTCCTAGTTTTGGTGCAATTACAAGACCTATAAACTAGACCACAGATGACAAGTATAAAGGCTTACAGGACATAAGAAATTAGCAATTTGAACTTTGTTAGCCTCATCAACTTCTTCATTGGCTGCATCACACAGCTTTTGCACCTTTTCTGAATCCAGCCCTATGATGCTGACCATAGCACTTTGTGCAGCATCTGCAGCATCCTGGGAAAAAATGATATGGTAAAGCTTTAGCATTTCAGAAAAAGTTGGTCATCATACAAATGGTTTATGATTGATGTACCTGCATTGCTTCACCCCTAAGCTTGACCAACTTGAGCCCATCCTCAAAGCTGACAACCATAATTTTAATAGGTAAGTGAAGGACAAAAAGGGCCACAAAATCTTTTTTTTTTCAGCACAGGTGGAGGCTAATGAATTTGGGTCTATAGGTGAATTTCACACCAAAGCCACAAAGCAAAGAACATCAACAATAACTGTACACTTCGGTGTTCAATTTGGCCAGTCACCTGAAGGCTCTGGCAAATGCAAGGGCAGTATACTCCCCCAGACTCAGACCACAAGTAACATCCACAGAATCAATAATTTGCTGACCTCCATCACGTGCCCGGAGAACTTCAATTGCAGCTAAGCTTGTGACATAGATGGCAGGCTGTAAACAGAAATAAAACTGATTTCAGTTTAGGTTACAGCTTTATTTTTAAACATTTTGCTCCCTCTGGAACAAAGAGCATGGGAATTGGATACCAAAGCATTTGTGTTCAATCAGATGCAGAGAATTAAAAATTCTTTAGGACGTGTTTACTTTGTATTTTGTAGTCATTGAAGGTTTTGAATTCAGACTGATCTGAGAGGACGAGATGCACCTATGCACCCTTTTGTCTGGTCTTATTGAAGAGAAGATATTAGATTGACAACAGTTGGCTACCGGCACCACTACGCTGCAACTAGCTATTTGCATGTCACTTTGCTGTTGAATGGGAACCTTAACTTTCATGGTTAGAGATTTTCATTCATTCGTTCTCCATTTACAGAAAGCTTCTTAATTGTTCCAAGTTTCCAAGCTGTGCCATTATCATACTGAGATACAAAAGTTCCACTAAACATGGAAGAGAAGTTCAAAACAACAAATTTTGATGTGTACCTGGCTTAGAACAGTGGAATCTAGCTTTTCTTTTGGTCCATTAAGACAAATATCCAAAAGGTCAAACCTTCAATAATACAAACAATACATCAGAGATTAAACCAACTTAAATCGAACGAAAAGCATTTATAATTTCAAACTTGATTTAAGCAGGATACACAACAAATAGCAAATTATTGGATCTACCCCAGTATTTCATTTGCCTTTTTGTACAATTCAGCAGCAGCAGGCACCTTCTGAGCCTCTGCACCCATTCCAACAGCTTGTGCACCCTACAATGCACACATAAGGCCAGTTACTTTCTGCATCAGTCAGAAAACCGGTGCTATCCATGATGTTGCTTGCACAGCAAACGCAAAGCATCAAGAATTAGAAGAAACAAAACTCCTTGTGCTTTCTGCATTCATTAATCAGCCACTACCAATGGAGGTAGCCACTAATACTCAAGCTATATTAGTAGTCAATGTGGAAGTTGAACTTGGCACTACATCAGGCTCAATTTCCCTTGCTTCAGTTGTGGCTACTGCTGATTGCGGTGAAACAAATTCCTCTGCATTACCAATTGCTAAATCTTCTAAACTTTATTCAACCTCTAGAGGAATTTGTAGCCCAATAGCTAGCTACTGGAACAGACTTATTCTCTAATTCGATCATTACCACATCCAGTAATTTGCAACATATACTGTGGACAGTACGACCAATTCAAGCCAAATGTTTAAGGTTTTCAAACACAAGTTAACATCACCAAAACAATGACTTAAATTCGTGACCGCTTTTCCTGAAATATACACGAGATCTTGATGATCAATAACATACAAGTTGTTCCACAAGAAGATTCTATGTCGAGAATGAGTAAAATGCAACACAACTTCACCGCTGGATCATATCGAACCTTTAATGAGTTTCAGGGAGCAGTTCTTTGATATTTCTTGTCATCTTTATATGAACTATCATCAGCATTTCTCTGATTAAGCAAGTTCCTACCTTGACTCATTAATAACACAACCAATTGAAGCACAATTAGCATAACAATGCAATCACGAAATATTCAAAATCTACAATCTTCAATTGGTTGTGTCACGCATATTGAATAGCTAATTATGCATATTGAAAAGAAATAACAGAGAATTTCCACCACAAAACAAGTTAGGAACCTAGATAAATCAGACCTGACCGGGGAAGAGGAAAGCGCAGCTGGGTTTATAATCATGGTACAAGGCATCATTGACAACAGTTTGAGATCCGACAGCAGCACTCATGAAAACCTTAGATGTATCCAAATTCTTGAGACTAAAACCTCGAATCCCATTCTTAAATCCCAACGTTTTGGAACTCCTGAGTGACACTGAATTCCCAAGAGCGAGCTGAGGCTGCTGCCCATTGAGAGAAATGGAGAAGGAAGGACCAAAGATGTGAGCTCATTGTGTTTGTGAAAATGCAAATGGGCGCTGATGATAATGAGCGACGGCAAGAAACAGCGGGAGCGAATCGAATTAGAGGATGGTGGAAGAGGGCATGCATTTACTTTTGCTGAATTCTTAAATATAAATGCTGAATCGCATGCATAGTTCAGGTCCAGTGTTGGTATTGTAAGTTAGCGGAGTTTACGAAGAAAATGACGAGCGTGGAGAAAATAAGGTCAAGCGATATTCACCAATTTTAACGTTGGTGTAGTAGCAGGCTTGAATTCCAGTATAGTCCAAGTTTTTTTTTTTTAAAAAAAAAAAATCCCAAGGCCTGTGTAATATTTTTATCAGGAAATTATTCCCTTTTTCTTACCCTTTGTGGAGACTTACTTGGATTGCAATTTTTCTTTAAACAAAAAAAAATGAAGAAACGTTTAAATTGCATTTTTATGTATTTTGAGGTGATTTACAATGCAATTTTTAATTACCTGCAACTCTTTTTACTTGAAACCTATAAAGAGAAACACTATAGTTGCGAATTAATGGATACTACACAAGGAGTGATGATGCAATACGCAAAAAAGAAGAGAGTCGTAGAATGACAGAACAGATAGAGCTTTTGCACATTTTCATTAATCCATAAACAAGATCTATGCATCTCGATCGACAAATAGATATCACAATAGCCTATCATTTTGGAACTCTCTCCTCCACCGGAATTACTTTCAAGATGTAACAAGGTCACACAGCTATCATGAGCTTGACCTAGTTTCATTGACGTTAAATTTTAAATGATCAAATTCAGAATCCAAATTGAGCTTTAGCTTCTCAGAAATCATCCAATCAAATGAGGATAATGAGCAAATGTGTATCTGTTCTAACCATGCCTTGGTTCAGTTGAATTCTCAAGTCATTTGATATTTGACTTTGTTCGCAGCATAACCACCAGTAACACTAGCCTTGGCAATTTCGAAGATCAGAATTCTGCAAATGTTCATAATTGTGATTTAATGCCGAACACTTCTTATTTACATTCTGTATACAATTGGTAATATGCCTTATTCTACAATAACGAATCAAACAATATGTTCCATGGTGGAGTATAGAAAATGCATGTCAATTTCGATTCGCGGTCATAGCCAGACCTGATTATTTTGTGCTTGCTTTGTTGATTTGGGAAAACCCTTCTTGCCACTTTCTGGAGAACCTGATGGATTCATTCTGATCACGACTGGACAGAGTGTCGGAGGGAAGAGGGGAAATTTGAGCCTTGCATACAGTTATACTAGCTAGAATGAATGTGCAACACAAATCCTGCGAAAGACAACAAAAGGACATGTTAAAGACGAAAAGAAGCTCTGATAGGAGCCGATATAATTTTTTTGTTTTCTATTTGCAAGTTGAAAAGTTTCTTGACATTAAATTGGTAAAAATAAAATAGAGTCAAATTTTCAAAAGATGCTAATCAGTTTCTTTCCCACTATGTGAATCAAGCAGGGCTCTGCATAATCTGGTACTCTGAATGCAGTACATCAAATAGAAACACTTACCATTCCTCAGACCTCAGGCCCGTCCTCTGATCTCTATACATGATCAACAACCTGAAGCTCACTGAACCTATCTCTTTTGCTCCGTATTACCCTAGCTTTGTTGCCTCTTATTTCTAGGACCTGATTAACAAGTTTAAGCATCTCATTCTTAGCACTCTCAAGAAACCGTCAAAATGTTGACAAAGCCCCGATGATTAGATCATTTAAGATGAAGATTACTGTGCAAATACTGAAGTTGTTGGAACAATATAGGCTTTCTGATATTAATAAGTTATTTCCAAGTGCTTAGAAGACTTTGTTGTGAGCCCCAGGAAACATTGATGTTGGGCTTAACAGTTGGTGGGATAAAATCCAAGTCCAACGATTGAAATACTCTTTCCAGCAGATACAGTCAATACTTTTAAAGCAAGCACCTTAGTGTGATTGCACAAGTTCAAATACCGAAAAGGAAAAGAATTTGCAAATCAGAGGTGCTACCAGGTGAAAATGTAAAAATGACAACAATGATTGTCTTTTTTTCTTTAGCCATTTTGGGTCAGATCTCCAAGGCGATTGGAAGAGTAAACCAATCACACGTTAAGTAACTACAGCCAGTCAATGACTGAAATAATTCCAAATCTTCTTGTTGTCAAACTCAACATTTTGATCAAGGCAGAGTGCAAGTTAGATTTTGCTTGTTCACTGGCATTTTAGGCATGGTAGATAAAACAGTTTACCTCAGGTCTTGAATCAAGAACCCCACTGGACATGCCAACATCAATTCGCCATATGCTGCAGTTGAATTTGCTGCAAGGTAAATGACTATTAATAACCTTTAGAAGCTAAATATAGATCTACCTTGCAAGACAGTAGTCATTGCATGAACTGACATAAGTATTCTATATCATCAATTTCAGGAAATAAAGTATCATCGGGGATAATAAGGACCTATACCAGTTTGCTCCCATTGGTTGAGGAGTGTGTCCAACCACCATTCGCCGACCACCTACAGCTTGCAGCGTCTCTTCAAGTATTGATTCAATCTGATAAGACAGAGATATTTATTTTCCATTATGTCAGCATTTTATTTTACAATGACATCATGATTAAGATTTCACTGGCTACAAATATTCAAAAGTTTGATACTGCAATAGGTCATTTAAGGTAGCAAAGCTCTAACTTTGAACACAGTTTCTCAGTAAGAAATATTTAAATTAAAAGAAAAAAGGTCGATAAGAGACTAACAAGTATAAAAATTTTGAGACAAAATACATAGATTTCCAGATCCAAGATTTGTCCAGAACCTAGTAATGTATAGCTTTTGGCTGACAATATAGAAATATAGAGAATGAAAAGTAATGACCTGACTTATCTGATAGTCATATAGATCCGAAATATCTCTGGAGTATAGACGGTTCCAGACAACGCTATCATAGCCTCTTGTTGCTATGAAAGGGGTCTCTAAGTAGCTGTCTGTGTTACCAAGACCTCTCATCCAGTGAGATACTTCTTTATTTATCCTCTCTATGCCGTAAGATACTGCAATAGATGACCCCACAGGAATTATATATTTCTCAACCCTAAGAAAAATGCAGAAAATATGCTACCTTGTGACCAAGTTCTTACCATGGTGAGGAAGGAGGCCACCATGACAGAAGACCCAATCATCAATCTTCAGAATAACAGCATGTCGTGCCAACTCAGATGCCAATGGACCCCCTGGTCTTAGCAGGGCTGACCTTGCAATCACACCCTTCTGTCTCTGTCCTAATATTTGGATGATTTAATCATAAGGTAAAGTGGACAATAGCAAACCAGAACCAACAGGATTCACTGTTTCTCAATAACAACCAGCCACAGAGAGGAAAAAGTAGGCTTCATAATACATTCCAGCACACAATAACTGACACAGAAATCTACTATCATATGGTTTTCCTTTTTAAAATCCATAATATTGCAAAATTCATTAGTTTAAGATTTTTCACAAGCCTGGCAACTTCAGAGTAAGGCTTTGGTATCCCACATAACATCTCCTATACATGGAAGGAAAAAGATCCAGACCAAAGACAATGAGCAGTAAACAGCCAAGCCAACTTAACGTTTTCTATACGTGGAAGGAAAATGGTTCAGTTTCAAGAATAAAACATACCTTTACCAAATTCCATGGACCCCAGTAACTTTGAGACCTCTTCCTCTCGTCTCTCTGCCTTTCTGATACATCAACCCAACTAGCAAAAGCTTCTTCCCAGTTATATTCACATTCTTCCAAGTGCTCCAAAAAGTCTGTGCACTCATCAAATGCCCCAGAATCAACATATCTGAAATCACCGTCGACATTCATGGTTTCATGATTACCATTGACCTATATCACAAGTTCATCACAAAATGAGAAGTTTAGCAGTGAATGCTCCAAGCAAATTCAGAAGACAAAATATAGAGGAAGCTCATACTAATAAAAGAGAATAACCGCAAGGGCTTCAAGTACACAAGTTTCTAAATGTTGACACACACCATAAACAAATAACTTGGCTGTATAGTAGCCGATCCATAATAACCTCAAACATTACCATATCAAAATGGAACATTACCATCAGCAGAAAAAAATTTATCCGTGCTTATGGTGGATACAAAAGAAAGAATCTAAACCTGGAAAACTGCTCCACCGTCTGCTTTTGCCTGGATGTCCAATGACCTCAACAGAGAAAGAATAGCAATTTCATCTTCACCCCGATCAAGTATATCTCCAAGCTGAACTAATACCTGGTAGAAGATAACAAATTAAATTGACCATTTCAGCAGGTGAGTAATTGATACATTTTGATGACATGTGTTTCCTCATATAAATTAAGTGAGTGTGTGTGTAAAGAATGCAGTGCCATACTGTTTCTCCACCAATCCACAAGTCTTGACCATCAGAACTGAGTACACCAGCAATCTCAAGTGCGGATCTTGTTTTGTCGAGATCCCCATGTAGATCACCAACTAAAAGTCCAATTCACAGATAAGAGCAATAAGTAATCAACCAGGGCAATGCGGAATGACCATTCACCCGACAGAAGATGTTCCATCTAATCTAAAGTTGCTTAACAAACTCATAGTAAAAAGCATATTGGCTTCCGGGAAAATACTTACTTAGGCTTGGTCTATGGATCCACTTGTAGACCATGTGCTATACTCACATACTACATACTCATGGTGATGTACGATGATTTAAGAAATCCTCTGGTGAGTGATGTGTGATGATGCCCCAAAAAAAAAAAAAAACGTACATGGCGCTTCAAAACAACTAATGGTATACATGATACAATAGGACCGTAGGCCGGGTCTATCAAAGTACTTCATTCCACACTGAAGAACCTTTAGGTTCTCCAGTAATTGGGGTGATTCCATCTGCTTATCATGTTCAATTGTAACGAAAAATAAATTGATCAAATATCAATTCCATGAAATCAAAACATTCGTACACACAGTTGTCAATGGAAAAGCTTAATCATCGGGGTTTGCATGGCTGATTTAAGATATGAAGTGGTAACAATGACGAACGATTCCAAAATGTAACCTATCCGTAGTTAATTAGCCAGGACAAGAATCAGATAATGCGAGCGAACTCTACTGGAATAACCTGATAAATAGCTAAAGAGGAGGAAGAAAACCTGACTGTTGGAATTACAAGGTTAAGTTTGTTTAAGTTTGTAAAATAGAAACTAAAGATAGTTACGGCATCAGTAGGTACAGTTTTTCAATCACTTAAGCTCCAACAGTAGACTACCACATTTGGACTGAAATCGTAAACACACAAGAAAAAAGGAGAAAGAATTCTAGTTCCTACGCAGTAGTAACATAGAAGATTCCATGGCTGAATAAATGCAGATATACATGGTTTGACTTTGAAAGTTGAAGCAAACAGATTGGACTGAAACCAAAATGTTAGTAGGGTAGCGGTAGTAGTATAGAAATATGTAACTACTACGTGGAAAGCAGAGAGAAGAGGAAAGGAAAGGAGTTTTACCAGCAACAATTCGGCGACCAGGGGCAGAGACAAAAGTGGGGGGCTCCCCATTTACGACAATGGGCTTTATTAAGTTGCTGCAGCCGCCGTAGTTATTATGTGGTGGTGGAGTTGAAGCGGGAGTTGTTCTTGTTGCTGTTGTTGTTGTTTGGTGGCAGGTGGAAGATAAGATGTCGATAAGTTTACGTGGCTGAGATTGTGGTGAAGATAATGAAGAAGAAGAAGAAGAAGAAGAAGCAGATGGCGGTGGTTGGAGTGGGAAGGAACAGTTGAGAGAAACAAAGGAAGCCATTCGTTCAGGGCTGGGGTGCGGGAGACGACTCATTCCTCAATCAGGATTATTCTCTGCTTTTAGGATTTTTGGTTTGTCGTTCTAATTTATTTTTTCTTGGGGTTTAATAGGTCCATAGGAGTATTATTTTTATTTTTTCCGGTTGTGGTTCAAAGCCCAGTTTGCCAACAAGAAAGACGAGCTACTGGCTGCGTTTGTGGCAGCTTTACATCCGCCTATATGTGTTCAACCTTTTCTTTTCTTTTGTGTATTTTTAAGGCTTGTAAAAATAGGAGCTAATAGGAAACGCTAGATTCTAAAAGCTGAACCGTAGATCTGACGATCATGTCCCTAGTGATTGAATAGGGTCTTTGACAATTCTATATTTGAGTGCTAGGAATTTAGAGCTCTTTCCATGCGTCGTAGGTAATAAGCTACGGGTATAAATGATACATTAAAAAATTAAAAAAAGAAAATCAAAGGCTACGAGTATAAAAGATGCTGCTCTTCCTCTGAGTATTTGAAACAAAAAGGACATTTTCATTTATGTCAAATATGCAAGAGCAGCTTCAGTGACTTTCTTGGGGAAGTTTACAAGCCAGACTCCACTCCGACACAATGTGGGCAAGTGCACTATTAGACCTACTCTCTTTTTTTTTTTTTTGGTTAATCGTGACTTTATCTACAGTATCTTACATTATTCTAATACAAGGGGGAGATTCAACGGGTCCAGGGGAGCCGATAAAGACCCAATCATCATCGAACCAGACGGGTACACTACGCACATGATTAGACCTACTCACACATATGGTTTTAACAAAACCAAAATCACCCTCTGCATACCATAGAAGTTAGGAAATTTAAAGAATATTTCTATACACTGATAGTGTATATATTTTTACAATTAGATACATGACACATAATTTAAATTTGAATTTGAAATCTAAATTTTGCACATTATTGTGCATCCAACCGTAATATTGTATACATTATTGTCAGTGTATATAATATTTACTCAAATTTAAATACTTTTGATGTGTTATGCAATATATATTGGGCAATGGGTATAAAAGGAAAAGGGGAAAAAAAGGCTATGAATATGAATGATGGTAACGGTAAAGAGTAGCATCTCAAGTCAGAAAGATTTACGAGTGATTGTCAATACGAATAACTAGACATGTCAACGTGTTGGATTTTAACCAAATTCAATATACTTAGATACGATTTGGATTTTCAAATTCAAATCCTATTTAGATTCAAACCCTGTAAGGCGATCCATCATGGATCTGAGTAAGGTTTTATTTTCTATGATTCAGACCCAAATTCAAATCTATATCAAATCCTGTTCAGACCCATGCATAAATAATATATATATATATATATATTAATAAATTCGTAAAATAGTTTAATATTCTATGTCATTGTAATTGGTACAAATCTTTTTAGGAAAAAGAGAAAAAGTAAAAGCAAATAAATAAAAGATCGAATGTAGATGCTAATAAAGTTTTGAAAATAAATAATTTTTCTTGACAATAGTTTTTTCTTTGAGTTTATAATATTGCATTCAACATTTTAAATGTTAATTATTATTATTTGAAGATAGAAATTGGATGGTATTTATGTTAATCTTGAGCTCTATATATTTTCAAAAATGTTTTTACTCTAGTGTTTCATTATATGTTTAATTAGAAAAACATTCACAGATGCCCATTGGATATCCAAATTCATGAAGGTCGGGATCTAACTAAAATTTAATAGATTTGGACCCTGGAATTAGATTCACTCTTTTAATTCTCTGCCTTTTGGGATTCGTTTAAAAGACGAATTGAATTTGCGGGCTACTGTTTTTCTAAACCTTCTTGTCTTTACTGGACCTCTGATCTGGGCAAGTTCGATAAGATTTTGGATTGTCGTGTCTGTCGGCCCAAATTGTAAGCCTGTCGAAGGTTGCCAGAAAAATCGGTTGTGCCTGGTGGAGTACGCTGTTTATTTCACTGTTTGCCCTCCAACTGAGGTGGATATCACAAAACACCCACTCAAGTTTCAGTGTCAAGATGATAGGCTCATTCTCCCTCACCTGACCATCATATTATCAGACGTCAAATATATTCTAAAAAAGATTGAACGCTAAACGAGTCAAAATACTGCTTAAAGGGCTCTATTCATGAAGCAATTGAAGGCCAAATGAAATTTTCTGTATCCCAAAAGATCACAAAGGGCATATATCCAACGAACTGAAGTGTCTTGTCTAATTTGCCGTGGCATCTTCAGTAGATTATGGCCACTGATTTCTTTTCCTGAGCCAATCTTTCAGGTACATAATTATTAACAAAAGAATAATTCAACTGAACCTTGACTGATGATGCTTCTGTGACAATTTGAACAAGGAATGATGAATTGAAATTGATCTATCTAAAGAAGCAGGAAAAGAAAGGGGCAATGAAGATGGAATCCCTAATTAACCACCACCCTAGCGCTTCTTGGTCTAACAAGATCCCTTATTTGTACATTTGGGGAAAGGCCAGTTGGTACAAATTTTGTGTGAACTTTCTCTTGATTTTGATCATATACCGTGTTAATTAGTGAATTATGGTTAATTATATTTTATATTTGGTGCTGTGTGCGGGAAATTGGGGTGAAAAAGAACTTAAAGGAGTTTCTGGAAAAAAATATGTATATTTTCTACAAAGTATGGGCGCATAGAATTTCAAAAGATGCGGGGCTTGAGATCAATTCCAGCAATAAAAGGGGACTGGATGACCGACTTTCTAATCGTAGAATTCCTTTCCATTAGGAGAATTTTCTGGAAAGTGGAAGAATGATGGTATTAGATAGATTTTTCTTGGAGACTGAGGAGTCTATTCTTCCTCCCTTGCTCTAGCCTTCTAGGCAGGCTCTCTTGCTCTTTCCGGAAAAGTAGATAATATATATTTTTTTTCTTTTCTTTTTGGCTGTGTTCTCTCCATGAGGGGTGGCTAAACCCTTTTCTAGTCAAAGGACAATTGAAAATTTGGTTCTGTGATAATTGTAATGTCAAATTTAATTTTACTATTTCATCTATTCATGGGTATTTATATATTTTCTACATTACATGCGTGATGATTGTTGTGTGTAATTAAATAGGTAGCTAATATTTGACTGTTCACGACAATGTATTGCCAATTTTTTTTTTAATCTATAATAAATTGGCTATTTTGATATTTGTAGTGATTGGCATAATTGGATTTTATGTTAGAAAAATATATGGTCCAATTTAAATGAACCATCGCAATGAGTTTGTTGATTAGAATTGACATCTTTTCTAATTCCTACCGATGTTGAAAGAATTAAATGCTACAATCGTACGTAGGGTAGTTTTTTAATTACATAAGATGGTCATACATTGGCTGTCAAAACAGTAAGGAAAGACAAATTGTCAAAACTTGTCAACAACGATAACGAATTTATTCATAAGTGTTTGAATTATCTTTGCATCAAGAATCAATTGTATGAACCAATTATGATATTATTCCTTTGGTTAGTGTTTTATTATTAATTATTGATTAAATTTTGTATGTTTTCCTGTATCAGAATTAATTAATCATCTAAAATCGTATATTTAATTCTTTATTTTGAAATGAAATAAATCAGCCCAATCTTTGTGAATACGACGACTTATTCACCACTATACTTTAAATTCATATTAAGAAATATGTATTTTATTTTTGATGGATTGACGACACAGAAATAAAAAGTTTTCCTCCTATTTATTTTGTTCTCTTGAGGAGAAAGAACTCGGCAAGCAATTCTTTAACAGAAAATGATTATGTTTTTTTTTTTTTTGTGAACATATTTTTTTATCTTATATATATCAAATTGTAACCGTACTTTTTTTTTTTTAAAAAAATCCTAGAAAATTACAATCCAAACAAAATCATTAATTTGTAGATCAAGAGAGAGAGAGAGCGCCATGGCAGTCCAGGCTCCTTGTTCCGTACTAGAGGCCACATAAAATTAAACACCATCATAATTGCCCAAAAGCTGTTCAATGCATGTAGCCCTGATGAATCTAATTTCTCGAAATGACAAACCATTGCGGCATCATTGGATCTTTGAAATACTTTATGATAACAAAAGATTTGAAGTATCCACCTTTAACTAAATTCCACTAATGCAAGTTGCCCAGAAACCAACTAGTAATAAATATGCTTGTTATTCAAACACGACCGCTAATGCCGACGCCCCACAAACCAAGCACGAATTAATATATGATGATCAGTATGAACATATCGTATAGCCATTCATACATATATACGGGATACCACTCAAATGCATGTCCCCTCATTCAAATTATGTTTCATGAATTCTCCCCAAGATGATGATATTCAAAAATAGTTCTGCTATGTCCTCACCTCCACGATTAAAATGTACTCTTTTTTTTACAAAGAAAAAAGAAGTGAAAACGGAAGGAACTCAGGCGTTTGGTCAAGAGCCAGCGAAATGGAAACTTGAAACGGTTCCATTTGTGAAAATTTTGGGATGGTCCTTTGAGTCCACGCTTCAGACTTGATGCATTTGACCATCATACCGTGGAACCCATTCGTATGATCAGCGGTCACATAATGAGGACAAAACACCCGAGAGAGAAAAAAAAAAAAAAAAAAAAAGAGGAAGAAGTCACTTGTGAACTTGTGATGCATGATTCTCTAGTCCTACCTACCTGCTCTCCGTTTCCATCCTCCTCCTCCTCCTAGCTCCAGCCCACATATACATGTATGTATCAGACTGCGTGTATCAGACACCATAAAGCTGCGCATGCATGCGTGTATTCAACAAATCTTCGCAGAACCAGAGCTATACGAGGACTAGGATACATTTCTCTCTTCTTTGATTACTTGTTTTCTTTTTGATTCGTAATCATTTTCATTGATTTATTTATTAATTTAGGAACGAATGACATAATTTAACAGTGAAGTCAAACAAAGAAGCTAGTGGGCAGCACCGTGTTGTGGAAGGACTAGGAAAAAATGGGCATTGGTATTTGTTTTTTGTTTTGGGAAAGGAGGGGGAGGGTTTGGTTGTAGCTAGCAGCCTAGCATACAATGATACCAAGTAACACAGTAGAATCATGTGAATTACTTACAAGAAGACAGCAGAATCCGCAGGCACGAAGTAGTTGATGAAGC